AAACAAAAAAAAAAAACTCAGGTAATATGGACATGTACCACGAGCTGTCTATCAGAAACCTTCATGCGGGGCTCTGTGACAGGAGGGTTAATGTGGGGAAGGCATTGACGAATTTGGATGGAGACTTTAAGGAGTTGACTCGGCTGGCCTTTAAATAATTTTTATAGCGCGAGAAAACCGAAAATGATGGCATGAAAGAATAAACCGGGAGTGATCTCCACTAAACGTTCTCGAATATTCTTATATAAAACAACAGGGGATGGGAACTCGGGATATAGACATGATTTTTAATCCATTTTAAAAGATGTGCATAATAGTGCGCAATATTATTATTACTTTATAAGTTTGCATGCGTTTCATGAAAAATAGGAAATAGCGTAAATTACTACTTCCGGTCAACGGAAATTACTCAAAATTTAACAGAAGGCAGAGAATTAGATCTGTTACTTACGTGTGAAATTTCATTTATCTATCTGAAATAGTACTCAAGTTATAGGCTTATGAAAAATTCAAAGTAGAAAAAGTACCACTTCCGGTTATCGGAAATCGCTCAAAAGTTGATACGGATCTACGATTTTGATAAAATACTTATATATGAAATTTCATCAACCTAGCTCTAACGGTACTCAAGTTATCGTGTTTACACACGGACAGACAGACAGACAGACAGACAGACAGACAGACAGACATACGGACAAGATTGCAAAATTACGTTTTTCCGTATCAGTGAGGTGTAAAACGTCGAGATTTGTAAAAATATGTTAAGTAAACTAATACAATTAAAAAATAAATTCTACTATTTAGTATTTTTATTGTTATTATTCTAACTTAATAACATGTCTGCAAGTATTAAATTTGCAATAAAATAATTATTTGTGTTTCTTTTTATCGTTACTTAATGTATTTATGTTTATAAAAAAATAAGTTGTAAGTTATTTCGCTTAGTTACAAAATCACCAAAAATAGGAAAGACAATATATTTCAAAATGTTTATATTTGCACCATTGCAATATGTTCTAAAAGTTTCAAACAATGATGCAATACTCTATAAAACGCCTTTTCAAAGTCCACGAGATTAACTGAAAGTGGACAGCTATTTTCAAATTGGATGTTCGTGGACGATAAGACTTTTAAAAATCATTTGTTTAGAAAATATATAGTAATCAACATTTCAAACAGAGAATAGATTAATTTTAACTCTCATAACTATTAACATATTTTCTAACAGTGAATTCACAAAGCAATTAACAAAACTGATTAATGAACAGAAACTACTCAAGTCTATAGGGGCCTACATATGGGCAAAGTGTGTGCATCAGCCACAGCTCATTAAGTCATTAAATCGTCCACATTATAAGAAAAGCTGATAATTGCTGACTTTATATTTGAACCAAACATTGCGGAAGAGTATAGTAAGAGTATATCAAGGGTACCCCGTGTCGTGTTCCCTACTATTAGAACAAAGGAGCATTGGCTTTAAGAAAATTGTGAGTGGTGCACACCCCTATCAATTATTTAAACTCGAAAACGAGACAACATACAATCGTGTACTGAATTTCAAAATTATTTTCAAAGACCCGCTCCACTTTATTGTGTTCAGGTTAATACAAATGTATATCACACAACAATTAATCTCTAATCAAATATAATTTCTCTTCCTCTGTCATAAATATGTCTACATTTACATACGATTATTCCCCCCCCCCCCCCCTACCCCGCTTCCGTGAAAGCAGCCGTCTGTGACGAAAGTTTACAGGTGACAATGAAAAGAGCAAGCAGAACATATCATTATCTCCCCTTAGTGTCAAAATCGTTTAAAAACTAAATTATCTGCCCCTAACAGCCGCCACTACCTTTGTAAGCAGCTCACCAGACTGGTAGGGGTGGGGGTGGTAGTGAAAAGGTCTGTTGAGCTTATGTCTTGGTGTCTCGCATGGTCCCAATGAAGATGATTATATAGATACGAGCCGACCCGCGGCGTATCATATGCCGCTATTTAGTTGTTTTATTTTCTACTCTTCAGTAATTCATAATTTGTGAATTTGACAGTTCCAATGCTGCCACTGAAAATATTTGCTTTAAAACATTATCAGTAGAGGGGGGGGGGGGGTAAGAACTTAACATTTTCGTGGGGAGGAGGAGGGAGCTAAATTTTCCGGGAAAGGTGGATACTGGTAAAAAAAAAAATATTTTCTATATAAATATTGCTTTCCCGGAAGGGTAGGGAGGATGACACAGGCGTCTCCGGGGGGGGGGGGGGACCCAAAAAGAGGCCTGAAAGAAACTCTGAAATCGAGCTGAAGTCAGAGCTGACACGTAATACGTAATTGTGTTGGAGAAAATCCCTTCCAACATTACAATTAAGAACAAATAAGATAAGAAGGTTCATTAACGTCACGTGGCAGGGTAGCTAATTGCAGTGTTTCTGTAGGCGTTTTAATGTTTGCATTAATTAAATATTTTACTTGGTTTTACAGTAATTCAATCATACATTCGCAACATTCAGAAATACAAATGACGTTTATCTGACTATTGACACTAGCATGTAAGATAATGGTCTTTATTCTAAAATTGCTCACACGTCATTCGCTATTGATATTGGTATTTGATATGGTAAATATAACTTTTAATGTATTGGTTCTTTTTTACTAACATGTGTTCGTAAAATACAAGAAATCGATATTTTGACTGAAAAGGTAATTATAAAACACATTCAATGGACTCCCTTTAGTAAGATGAAAATAATTATATAAAGCAGTTGTAGTGATCTCCCGCATGTTTACTCTGAAGTAACCAAATTTTTATTACAAGAAAAGTGTTCTAACGAGAAAGTGTCCCAGTTCATAACTGACGGATAGCTTAATAAGACTAAGTTAGTTGGGTAAGTCTAGCTCAGAAAGTTTGTTGATTTACACTTTAAATATATGCAAAACAGATGATAATTAAGGTGATAAAAAAAAATCAGGTTGATAATTAAATATATATATATATATATATATATATATATATATATATATATATATATATATATATATATATATATATATATATATATATATATATATATATATATATATATATATATATATATATATATATATATATATATATATATATATATATATATTTATATATATATATATAGCCGATTTATATGTTACTTTATGAAATTTTAGAACTCCAGAAAATGATGTTTTTTTTTCAAGATGGCCGCCGTTGTCAAGGCAACCATAATTTCAAAAGAGTCCCTGATGCATGGAAATATTTTCCTTTAATACCCTAACTTATACACACACAAATGAATCCATAAAAGGTTTTAATAAAAAAGGTTTTTTTTTTTCTTGAGCCTACCCCCTTAACTGGCATGTCACGAGGTGGAACCAATAAGTAGATGAGTCTCGATAGCTGGGGACAGCAACTCATCTAGGACAGAAAACTTCAACATTAAACAGCTGCGGCTTTGTAGTTTGTTCTTGAATGGACACATTTTCTGAGAGGAAATCCAGAAATAAAAGTTGTATGAAGGAAAGTTTTAGCTGCTGGACATAGTGCTGTAACCAACGATAGAGAAAGTAAAAGCCGCTATACATAGTGCTGTAACCAACGCTAGAGAAAGTAAAAACAGCTGGACATAGTGCTGTAACCAACGATAGAGAAAGTAACAGCCGCTATACATAGTGCTGTAATCAACGATATAGAAAGTAAAAGCCACTATACATAGTGCTATAACAACGATAGAGAAAGTAAAAGCCGCTATTTATAGTGCTGTAACCAACCATAGAGAAAGTAAAAGCCGATATACATAGTGCTGTAACCAACGATAGAGAAAGTAACAGCCGCTATACATAGTGCTGTAATCAACGATATAGAAAGTAAAAGCCACTATACATAGTGCTGTAACCAAGGATAGAGAAAGTAAAAGCCGCTTTACATAGTGATGTAACCAACAATAGAGAAAGTAAAAGCCGATATACATAGTGCTGTGCTTCATATACCAAATTTCAGATTCTGGTTGACTCTACTTCATTCGCACATTCAGGTTCGAAAAAATAATTTTAATGTCCCAATGCATTGCTATAAGACATTTGTTGCGACAAACACTATACATACTGCATGTATGTTCGTGTGTGTACGTGTGTTTGTGTCTAGCAATTAGTAGTATGGTTAGGTTGGCTTGGTTCGTGCGAGCAGGGGTCGGCAACCTTTTGAGACGGAAGAGCAAAAATTTACAATCTACAAAATTTCCCAGACTTTAAAGAGCCACTCACATTTGTATGTGCACTTCGGTAGTGGAAAGCTTGGAACCATTGCCACAGAGCTGGCCACAACATAGTTGTGGGGCAGGGCCTAATGCCTAATGCCCTAGGCTGCCAACTGCCCATATACACTCTACTCCATCTTTTCTCATTGTTTTTTTTTAAATTTTGTTTACAGTTTTTGTTTTTAGTTTCTATAATAAAAGAATATAATATAATAGAACTAGAGAGACGCACATTGACATACAAAGAACATCTCGCGAACCGCAGGTTACAGACCCTGCGTGCGAATAATTTGGTTAATTTTTTTTTTATCTTGTGTATTTTATTTCTAAATGCATACTTTACAAATTTACATAAAATTCAAAGTATGAATCTGTTTGATGCATAAGTTACATAAATTACAATGCCATTACATAAAGTAGTAAATCACTAAATATTTCTAAATGCCCTTGTACACTACTACTATTTAAATTAAGAAATTATATTCCAGAAAAGGAATTGATGGTAATTTGCTTCCATTCAAGTTAAAAGACAGAACAACCAACTTATTTGGGGGAGGGGGGGGGGGGGGGAAAGGACATTATGTGATAATTTTTTCCGGTTTTTATATTTATGAGACGTTTGATACATTGAAAATGAAGGATATCGGATATCAACATAGCGAGACTGGTCCAATGGCCAGATATCTTTGTGGCAACACCATTATATATATATCTAAGTCTGATGTGTGGACAGTACATGTTCAGTCATCCACAACTTGCACCATCTGAGGATTTTCTGCTACAAAGAAGTCCCATTATGATTTATTAACCTGTCAAAAACTAAAAATAAGAACTTGATTACATTACAGCAGTGGGTACATTTCTCTTAATGAATCGAGCTTATATAAGTTTGCCGGAATAACAAATTACAACTGTTTACTGCAAGCATCTTGGACAATTGCTAAAATATTTTTAAAATATACACTTGGGTAATTGTTGACATATATTCAGTTTAACAAAACATTGCACAGCCAAGAAAGTCTCTTTGAAAACTAAATTCTGAATGCTAGATATAAAAGATTCTGCAAACAAATGTATATTGGATTTAACCAATACACTACACAGCCAAGTGAGACTAAAAACCAGGTTATAATACAGTATGTTTCTGTTTACACACTTCTTTTATTTACTGAACTGGATTATTATACACTAAATCAGAAAGACAAATCTACTACAAAAACGTCATATAGAGTCAGGGCTACTGTCATTAGGATTTTTAGGGTTGGAGTCTGCATCATTGGTCTTTTCCTCATTGATCTGTGTAGCTTGATTTGATTTTTCTTCTTGACTAAGAGCCTCCCGGATCTGTGCTCTCAGGTTGTCATGGCGTTGCTCCCATCTATCTAGGTAATTATTCAGCTCATCTATTGTGTTGCTCAAGGATGAATATTCTCCAGCAATATCTTCAAGATCATTTAATTCTTCAGGTTCAGTTGCTAAATAAGATGAAGCTAATAAAGCAGTTCACGATTCATCTAAATCTCCATTCTGCTTATTTATTCCATTTACCGGTTTTCTGCTATTATTTTGTTGTTGGTTTTTTTTTTTTTTTTTTTTAAATACTTTTATTTGCAATTTAAAACAAGTACATCAACATCAAATTCTTACATAATTTCGAACATCAAATGAAAACGAAATAGTAATACAATATATTACAATAGTAATATTTCTTTCTTACTTGTAGCCTGCTTTCATTCATTTAAGATGGTTTACATATACATAGATGTAATACAAAACGTCTAAATATAAAGAAAAATTAAAAATTAAAAACCAACCTGAAACTGAAAATGCAAATGTGTAATTAAAATTAAATGATGATTCAAGGGATTTTTTTTTCTCGGCGTGGTGGGCTGGGGGGACGAGGGGGGAGAGGGGGAATTTGTTTTTTTAAAAGTAGAGCTGAAATGAATTTGGGATTACAGAATTAAAATGATACAAATTTTAAGCAATCGGAAAAGTTATGTTATTACAATGAGACACGTAAGAGCAAACACTCTTCCCTTTCAAACATCTATATCTATACAGTCCTCAATTAGTTTTTTTTTCCTTTTTATTTTTTGTTTTGTTTTATTAATTCAATTGTTTTAAACCTTTAAATCAGTAATAAATATTTTATTTTCTCCATTTTGTTGTTGGTTAAAACAATAAATCTAGAATAATGTTTTTAAGAAATTAACCAAAACCGTGGGCTAATGATTATAAAATGAGGAATTCATTTTATAAACACAATGTTATCTTACATAGTTATGACTTTCGTAATTTAATTAAGGATCTGTTTTATATAAGTATTAAAAGCAGACAAAATGTTCTCAAAACATTTTTATTGCTCATAGAAAAAAAAAAAAAATCAACAATGATTTACATAAATTTGGTTTATTTATTAATTTAATAACATTGTTTAAAGTTGTTTCCCTTATTGATTAAACTATAATATGGGAAGTAACAAAATTAAACCAATGTAATACACAATTATCAAGTGCATTGCTGTGTTGTATAGAAGAATTAAGATTTATGTTTACGAAAAAAAGGGCGGAGCATTGTATGAAAGGTTAATTTATTTTACTATATTGAAGGTAGACCTACTTTCCTAAAATAAAGAAGCTACATATTTGAATTTATGTGAATTTTCCAACTTGTTAAAAAATAGTAATCATACTAATTAAATTTACAAAATGTAAACATGTTCTTTATCTTAATAATTATTGCGGTGATATATCACTGTATGATCACAGTATAATCATGTGTAAAAAAACAACGCCGATAAAAACAGAAGATTAGCGTTTCATATCTTACATTGTGCTGTAAAAATCCTAACTTATAATTAGGTCACTGCCTATTTGCCTGTTCGAAAGCCTTGTCTTAACATTATAATTATCATATAGTTCCGAGGATAAATAACACAATTATCTATACAGGCTATACACTAAGCTAAATACATAGCATAAATCAAACACAAACCACTAAGTGAACCAAACGTGTCTCTAGTTTAACCGTTTAACCCTAACATCAAACGTAAAACACGAATCTTAACCTTCTCACATACATATTATTACTGACCATTTCTTTAACAACAAAGTTAAATAACAAAACAACCAAGCGCTAGAACAAAATCCAACACTTATACTAGGTAAAACAACTCTGTTCTGTAGGCCTCTCTAACATAAGACTGCATTAGTCTGCCACTAACACATTACCGTATACATAACGTCATCCTTTTGTAGAAACCTATAATGAACTTTGTAATTTAAAATCGAAATGCCATAACATAATATTACTTGTCTTCCCCTTGTATTGTTAGTTCAAAATGCGATTGGCCGGGCTCAGAGACTGGGCCACACGTGTAGGTCAAGAGCTGGATCTGGTTGTCAGAAACTTTCAGTGACGTGGGGTGTTGGGGGCATTTAGTGGGAGCTAATCCTCACTGTGAAATGGAAGCGTATCCCCACCTTGAAGTGGAAGCGTATCCCCTCAGTGAATTTAGAACATATTCTCATCGTGAAGTGAGAGCTTATTCTCAACCTGAAGTGAGAGATTATTCTCACCTTGAATAATTAGCAATGTATTTACAGTGAAGTTGGAGCTTATTCTCACCCTGAAGTGGGAGCTTATACTCACCATAAAGTGGGAGCTTATCTCCACCTTGGAGTGGGAGCTAATCTCCACTTCCAACCCGCGCTGTAACGATAATTAAATCTACAATTAAGTTATTCGTTACCGATAATAACTCGTTAAAAAATGTTAACAAAGCATAAAAATGCAGGCACGATTTATATGTCACTATTTGAATTTACTTAACAGTAGCTAGTTACGTTAATGGTAGCAAACTTTTAACTAGAGGCGTCGCGAGGCGGTGACGGGGATTGCTGATCGGGTGACACCGATAAAGGGGGGGGGGGGGGGCAACACCAAGACAAATAATTGCAAAATATAATAAGATTTAAATTAGTTTTGCCCTGTTAATGGTTAATTACAGTAAACAAATATTTTAAATACAAATTAACAATCCCTACTAGAGGGAGAGAGGATTATATCTGCTAAATATAGAAAAAGCAGCTATATTAATAACCGACCATAGATACACATCGTCAATATTAACTGTGAACACTTTAAAGTTATCATCCAGGGGTGTGAAACCAAATGCAAAATTTAAAGAGAAAAAAAATGTAGTTGAATGTTTTTTTAAAGGCGTATATACGGGTGTATTTTAAGTTTTAGATCTCACGTTCATTATCTTCAGGAATGCCTTTAATTATTGTGTAAGTTCATGTAAATTAAAATGTTTGTATCTGAGCAATAACATATGTTGATACTTGATATCATATTAACAAGTAAGGACAAATTATTTTTTTTATAATTTGATCCACATTATAGAGCCACAATATATGGTTATGAAATGAGCAGAATAAGCGTATTACACTAGGCTGAAATAGTTCAATCTTTCACAATACATTACAATGGTAAATATGTAAATATGTGTACTGGATTTCATCTCAATGTTTGTTGTCTAAAAAGAGTATTATGAAAGCATCAGTTTACATCAAGTGAGAAGGAAAGGGGAGATGGTGGGGAGCTTGCAAGTGTTAGAGTCTTGCTACACATATTACCTGTTACTATATATTTAGGCTTCTGCGGAATAATATCTAAGTTAACAATCAATAATAGAAAAAAAAAATTAATCCGATTGATTTACATGTCAAACTTTTGCTTATACTTAATTTTCCGGTATATACAGTTCCGATAAATACAGTTCACGTAGCTAATAAAGTCAATGGTTTTATAATTAAAATTAAATTTAAAAAAAAACGATGATTGTATTAAAGACATTTATAGTCTGCGGAAAGTACTTCATAAAAGTAAGTTTATTTTCATAAATGAAATTATACAAACTATTGTTTGGACCAATGTTTATATAACCAATGAAGCTATTGGCATATACACGACTTTTAAGAACTTAGCTATCACCCAGGGTTGGGGGTAAAACCTAATGCTAAATGTAAAGAGAAAAAAAGTGTAGTTGGATATTTTAAATCGTGTATATACTGGTGTATTTTAGTTTTAAGTCTCACGTTCATTATCTTCAGGAATGCCTTTAATTATTGTGTAAGTTCATGTAAATAAGGATGTTTTCATCTGGGCAATAATAAAATTTATGCAGACATCGAGAGACTTATCCAGGAGCGATGAATGAAAGATGACTTAGAGAACTCATGCATAGATCAAATAGAAAATGTAGAGGTCCTTAGAAGAATCACTAATGCTATTGGTCCCTGTTTAGATCTGCTAAGTATCGTAAAAACAAAACAACTCAGGTAGTATGGACATGTACAACGAGCTGTCTACCAAAACCTTCATGCGGGACTCGTAACAGGTGGAAGGATGCGAGGAAGGCACCGTCGAATTTGGATGGAGGACTTCAAGGAATTGACTCGGCTTGCTTTTAATAATTTTTGTAGCATCAGAATAACGAAAAGCTATTTGCAAGAAAATACAACATTGTTGTCATATAATGTTCTGATAGATAAATTTTACGTAGCTAATAATTCAAAGGTTTTATAATTAAACTAAAGGTAAAAGTTTATGATTTGATTAATAAAAAAATATAATCTATAAGAGTTGCATCAAAAATGTAATTTATTTTTCTAAAAATAATGAATATAAATAATTGCGTAAAGGAATAATTGTATACTTAATGAAACTATTCGTATTTACAAGACTTTTAAGAACATAGTTGAGTGATCTCCCTTGGTAATTTAAAATTTATATTTTTTTTTCTTACATAGTTCATTATAGGTTTCTACAAAAAAGATAATGCAATGTTTACGGTAAAGTGTTAGAGTCAGAATAAGGCAGTCTTATGTTAGAGAGGCCTACAGCCTGTATAGATAATTGTGTTATTTATCATCGGGACTATATGGTAATTATAATGTTAAGACAAGACTTTAAGACAGGCAAAGAGGCAGTGACCTAATTATAAGTTAGGATTTTTAGAGCACAATATATGAGATGAAACGCTAATCTTCTGTTTTTATTGGCGTTGTTTTAAACACATGAATATATAGTGATCATACAGTAATATATCATCGGCATAATTATTAAGATAAAGAAAGTGTTTACATTTTGTACATTTAATTAGTACGAGCCGACCCGCCGTGTATCATACGCCGCTATTCAGTTGTTTTTTTTTCTACTTTTCAGTAATTCATAATTTATGAATTCGACAGTAACAATGCTTCCACTGAAAATATTTGCTTAAAAACACTACCCCCCCCCCCCCCCCCACGTGAAAGCAGCCTCCTCTTAGTTACCTCCTCTAAGATTAAAATCGTTTCAAACTAAATTATCTGCCCCTAATAGCCGTCACCAAACCCGTCTCTATGATTGTAAAATGTAAACTGCGTGACCACAGCTCACCAGACAATGTGGGGGTGGGGTGGGGGTGATAGTGATAGAGAGAAAGA